TATCAAGGCATTGCATTTCTCTCATACCAAAAACAACTTCTTGTTTGACACTTCTCTCTATTTGGTGGACTTAATTCTCATTTTTAGACTAAAATGAGTAAAGAATGAAAATGTAATTAAAAGATGCAATAAAATTGGATTAAAAAAGGTAACAAGATAATAAAAATGAATTGGGTTCAATTGGAAGATAGTTGAACCCATTGAGTCTTGAACCATTTCATATTCTTTAGTGATGATAATGGGTCAAGATTTAAGGTCTACTACTTCCCTTGATCAATTCCATGATAGGGAAAATGTTTTTGTTGATTTTTCATTATCATTTATTGAGACTTTGTCCCTCGAGTCATAGATCATCACATAATAAGTTTGCGTTGATTGATGATTTGCAAATCGACTTTACCCCTCATTTGATTTGTTTGATGATAAAGAGAGGCAGGGTGAATAAACATCCCCTGAACATACTCTGTTTGTGCTCTGTTTCATGTCTATTGCAACAGGAAAATGGCAAAAACTAGTGGCCGGCCGGCCACCTCATTGTACGGCCGACCACTTTTCAAGGTTGCCCGACCATCTCATTTTAGATCAGTAGTATCATTTTCATGGCAGAATAGAGCAGAGGCTGGGAGTAAAATAGATTATTTTTCTGATTGCAAAACATAACAGTTTTGGCAGCAAAACAGAGGCATTTGCAGGCGGAAATTTGCATTTATGCATGAGCGGTTCTTTTTTCCTCGTGGCCCGTTAAATTATGCTTAATAGTAGTGTGTTGTTCATCAAATAGTTAAATCTTTTGGGCTTGTAATAGCTAGATTACTTAGTTAATTAATTCCGTGTAATTAGATTTGTTCAATTTGTAATAATTAGTTAGAATAGTTAGTTAAATTTTGGTATTGTAATAGTTAGTTAATTAAGACATTCATTCGGACCCTCTTGTGCGAGGGCAAATATGTATAATTTGTGTATGTCTTCCAACTCCCATTTTTTTCTCCCTTTTATTTTTTAGCTTATCGTGGTTGTATATCATCATGTTCTCCTTAGCATTTTCCATGTGTACATAGCCATGTTTGCACGCATAAGGTTTGGCTCATCATATTACTCAATGTCAATTTCAAATTCCTTACTCGAATATGTGCTTTGTCGTATGTCTTGAATTGACTCACATGCCATGCTAGTAGCCGAGCCTATTACTTGCAAGCTGTATGCGTTGCATTAATCATGTTGTATTATTTAGGATTATGCATTTTTCTAATTATTTCAGTTTTCTTTGGCTTGTCTTGGAGTATTAGGTGAGCATTTCTTGTTTTAGCATGTTGTATGTGTTAGTGTTACCATGTCAAGTGTGTTTACAATGAGGCAAAGTGCTTATTTGATATACTTGTTTGAATGTCTGTGGATGAATGCTAATTTCCTCAAATTGGGATGATTTGATTAATGCATATATGGGCTTACTTTTTCAAGTAGCACATATTCAAAACTATTTTTAAACAAAGCATGAAATCAAAGCATTCCAAAATGAGGGACTTAGTCTATACTTGTGTGCCTCACATAATAAGTTAGCATAATAATCAAAACAGGAGCATATAATGTTCATAAAAGTCACATCATGATTAGTAGAGACCAATTTTTGATCGGGTGAGTGGGGTGCTCAATTCATGACCTTTCCCTCTCATACCTAAGTTCCTCACCCGAGACAATTTGGTGATGACGGACAAGTAGCCTTTGGTATGAGTCACGAGTTTTTTAAATTTCTCAAAAATATTTAGGCGGTGACTCTAAAATCTGGCAAACCAGTCCATTTTTGGCATTTTTGATTCACAATCAATTTTTCAGAAGAATTACCAGATTTGGACTCATTTGTGTTTATCTGTTTCATATTGCACTTGCAAATTCAGATTTAGAACCACGGGAGTCCGAACCGTAGGGCTATTGTATCCGAGGAAACTAAACCCTTGCGAGAAGCATGAAAAGCTAGCTACACAAGCCCAAGCCCAAGTCCCAAGATCCAAGAACTAAGATCCACGATCCTCGACCCACGACCCGTGGATCACAGATCACGGACCCGGCCTGGCCCGGCACGGTTTGGGCTGGCGGGTGACGCACTCGCGTGTGACAATTTTTTCATAACTAACTTGGACCATAGTCTTGGTGCAAGCCCATCCTTGAAGCATCCATAACTCCATTTCTTCAGAAAATTTGGATGCCCTAAAGGGCTTATGTCCTTCTCATAATCTTGAGGTTTAAATACGCATCAAAGCTTTCCTCTACAATCAATGTAGGATTGGTAGTTATATACAATTCCAAATACTTCATTCATGAGGCCATCTGTATGAGACAATTTCTCATTCAATTCTCAATGATTTTTCGTCATTTTTTTTTATGGTGTAAAGACTTTTTTACAAAGAATCTAGACTCATTTAATCCCACCTCAACCAATGGCTGGGACCTACTTTAATTTTACATTAAAGGCACCATAAAAACCATTTTTTCCAACAATTATCAATTGAAAAAACAAAATTGATTGCAAACTTAATTAGTAATTATGTATATCAAAATGCATTAAAAATGAAATTTCATTTTACAATATGAAAAATTAATAAAGTTAATAAATGAATCTATATTTATTACCTTACGATTTTAATTATTTTTTCACCATCTACGTAAATCACATGACAAACATAAGCTGTATCGGGGATCTTTTAATTGCTAATAAATTTCTTTTAGAGTAGATAGATCAATAGAGGTCAATTAACAGAAAACTCAAAAACTCACAAAAATAGAGATAAAAATCAAGCAAAGTGATTGGGTTTTATACCTTGATAGATTCAATGACTTCTTTAGAAGCAATTGTGTGATTATAAACAAACACAAACCGATAAGGACTTCAAGATAGAATTGACCTTGTCACTTGATTATAATAAGCAAAAACAAAAGCAACAAAGTGATTACAAACTAAGAACTAATTATAGATGAAATACTCCTAAGAAATTAACCTAACTGCTGTTGCTACTCCTAATGTCACAGTGCTATGAATGGATTTGAATGATGTCTTCTGCCATCGAATTTCTTCCTTTTGCCTTGGCCATAACTACTGTAGCTACATGTCCTTCCTTGATATACACAAGTGTGCTCTCTCTACTGCTTTGTTCACTCACTTCAACTGCTTCATCTTTTATTTGTCTGTTTTACTTGGTCACATTCTTTGCACATTTCCTGGATCAAGACACTTGTCCACTTTGCAAACTTTCATTTTGAACTTCAACCAATAGTCTCAAGTCATGTCAGCACCTCCGTCGATATGTTTTTTCATATTTTAGTATCAACAATAATTTTTTATTTTATGAAACAACATGAAAGTAAAAAAAACAGTGAAATGCATCCACTTCTATTTAAAGGTATTCTTTAATTTTTCAAATATAAAGGCCTTGGTTTGAGATCTCAAATAAAACTTCAAATACGATTGACATGGCTATATTTTTTCATTTTAAAAATAACTAACATCACATTATATTATTTTCCAATAACTTTTTAAATTACTACCTAACTTTTCCTTATGCACTCTTTCAATCATACAACCACATCAAAATTTTAAGGGTAAATTCATTTACCCCTCTAAGTTTTATAATTTTTTTACTTTGATTATTAAATTAATATTTTCTCAATTTGACCATAAAATTGTGTTTTTTTTCAATTTACTTTCAAAATCAATTTTTGACAAATTTTGGATGGAAAATGTTAAGTTGGCAGCCACATGTTTTACAAAACAACCTTGCCATCTTAGATTTTACTTTTTTTACTTTGACCCTTAAATTTTTTTTCGGTCGTGCTAGGGAGCTCGAAAATGAGCTCCCCGAATCTCTCTAATTTTTTTTGTTTGTTTCAGAAGCAGAAAATCAGAAGGAAGAAGGAGAAGAGAAGGAAGGAGGAAGGAGGAGGAGGAGGAGGAGAGGAACTGGAGGGGGCCATAATCACAGGGGAGGAGGAGGCGGAGGCGGGACTGGGCAGAGGCGGGGCTGGGCAGAGGCGGGGCTGGTCTGGGCGGCGATCAGGCTGGGGTAGACGACGACGGGGACGATGAGCTGCGACATCCCGGCGACGAGCTCTTCCCTGCGACGGCGACGAGCTGCGACCTGCCTCTCCCTCTCTCTTTCTCTCCCTCTCCCGGTCTCAGAGTTGCATAAAGAAGACGAAGGAAAAAGGAAAAAAAAAGAAAGAAAAGAAAATGCCCAAAACGATGTCGTTTTGGGCATTAGGGGGATTAGGGAGGAAGAATTTCGAGCTCTCAAACATTATTCATTTTTTTTACCTTACTTTAGCTTCTAATTTTTGCAATTTTTTTTTAAAATTTTCAAAATCGACTTTGGTCTAATTTTAGATAAAGAAATAAAAAAACATTATCTTAAAATTTTATGACCAAAACACAAAATTAAAACCTAAAACCCAAAATAAAAAATATGAATTTTTTGGTGTGGTGTTATGTTGGTAGAAGAGTTTGTGTGTTTGTGAAAAGGGTTTGTGGTATAAGAATAAGACGGTGAAATGAAGGCATTAAAAGACGATGACAATAAAAAATGCAACGAATGTTGGAGGTAAATACAAATATTTAAAAGGTGATGGAAGTTTGTGGGTAAATTTGCAGAGAATGGCTAATATTTGGAATTTTGGATTTTGTCTTTGTCTTTGAGTTTGGATTTTGAATTTTGAATTTTAGGTTTCAAGTTATGGGTTTTATAATTTTAGTTTTGAGAGTAAATTAAAAAAAAAATTATAAATGTTAACGAAAACATAAAAACAATAAAATTTAGGGGGGAAATTGTAATTTATCTATCTTTTTCATTTGGGGCGCTCACAAATCGTGACCATCGTCGCACCATTTTTCACCACCGTATACACGTGACAACAGAGAATCCAAACCCGGATTTGTTTGAAAACAATAAACCGGATTGCATAATGGATCAAAGTCCGGAACTTTGGGGAGGATAGCTTCAGGCTGGTTTCGGTCAAAATAATTTAAATAAAAAAAAAAAAACCCAAACCAGAGAGAGAGAGAGAGAGAGGGAGGAGAGAGAAACCAAAGTGGAGTCACTAAATACCCTCATTTCATCGCCAAATCGTCCTTCTCCTTCTTCAATCTCCTTCAATCAATCGAATTCACAATTGTAAGAACTTATTCTCATATGTATATTTATTTGTTTATGCTTGTATTTGTGGTGATTGGGGTTTTAATTTATATGAATGATGTATTTATATACTTAATTGTAATTCGATTAACTGTGTTTTTAGTGTTTTATGATTGTGATTAGAACTTTGATCGGTCGTTAATTGGAGGCAAACATGGGCTGCGTGGATGGCTGTGCTTGTTGATTTTGCGGCGTTCGAGAACTGAGGGTTTATCTTTTGATTATGAGGACAGACATGGATTTGATAACTAGTTGCAAGGTATTTTCATTTTCTGCATTAGTTTTGAATTATGTATATGTATATGATGATTTTGATTACATCCCAATTGGGCTTCTGTTAATCATCTGTAGAAGAAAAGAAGTATGATTTAGTAAGTATTTTAATTTAATTCCATGATAAAAGATCAGTGTTTTATTTAGAATGTCTATATATTGAACATGTTCAATTATGCAAATTTCACATTTTATTTTTATATTGAACCAGCTCATTAATCATATTGACATGCCCATATTGTGGCATGTTAATTTTCTGTGGCAAATATTTCATTCAGTATTTTTGTTGATACTGTTGTTGAGTATGATGACATCTGGTGTGCTGGTGAAGTGTGTTCTGAATTTCTTCACTATGTGTATTTTTTAAAAATTGTTTTGTTGGTTGAAATTAGCCTAATCTAGGATTTTGTTGCATAATGAATGTCTAGAAACCAAATGGGAAGTGAAGATGATAGCTCAGATACTTGGTTAGTTTTAACCAAAAGCATTTTAGTTTGATGACAATAATGAATATATTTAAATTTTTTTTTTTCTTCCTCTCAATTAAGTCGTGGTGTTGGAATGTAAAGCAAGCTAGATAGGAAACTTCTTTTGGGAAACTAATATGCATTTTTCATAGAAAAACTACATCCATGTTTCACAAAGAAAATGTGTTAATGCACGATGTAGTGCAAATTGCCTGTGCCAATTATGGTTGCTGTATTCATTTTTGTTCTTCTAAGTATGCAGCAGTTTGTTCTCTGATGATGATTGGCTTTAGTGTTTTGATTGTCAAATTTGAGTTGTGGGCCAGCATAATAATTAGATCATTTTTGGGAGATTCTCGCATTTTTTTTTATTTAAATATTTTTTTGTGCTTATACATAGGCTACTGGCTAGAAAACCAAAGTAGTTTTAATTGCTAGATTTGTCTGTACTTTGGAGTTATCTCTTACCTTTGGGTTCCAAAATTTCATATTCATTCAAGGTTTCCTAGTGCATTTTATATTGAAGTTGATGATCGGCATTATGTTCTCACTACCCTGCTGTATCAAAACACGTTAATTTGTTTTCCTTTTTCTTTTCAAAGTTACCAAAAGTAATAGCAGTGAGTAGTTATGAAGTTTAGAGATTGATAACCTAAATTATTGAATCACCAATTTTTTGTCTTGTCCTTAATAGAAGATAAACATGTTATGTTGCAGTTCTTATTCTTGTTGCCAACCTAGAATCATTGATTCCCCAAATCTAGTTCCTTGCCCTTAGTATCAGTGCAGCCATTCTGATGTGATTTGTTTTAGCATGAAATTGTTATGGTGTTCAGCGGGATTATTCCCCACATTAGTTCTGGATCGCATGCTTGCGTTGGTTAACTGGTACCATTTTCCCTAACAGACATTTGGAAATGGTCTTCATTTCTCAATTATCCTTTTGGAATTTACATTCTCAATTACAATATAATGATTGTAATCCAAGACTAGGCTTACTAAGGGAAGTAAGGCACTAAGGTTGCTTACAAGCAAATGGTGGGCTAAGGTTCAATTTGAAGTTCAGAAATGGTACGAGTGTTATATTGCAGAAAACTATGGCATGCCTTCTCTTTTCATTTGATTCTTTCTTCTGGTCATAATATTTCCTCAATTATCACATTTTTTTTGGTCGTTCTCATGGTAGCTAGTTTTTGTATTATTGTCATGTATGATGTATGAAGACTTCGTCTGCTTTTTGCTGCAATGAGTTTGTGATGACATCCCTTCTCTCTCATAGGGAAAATTGGCAGAATTTCGAATAAAGGAGCTCAAGGATGTTCTCAATCAACTGGGTCTTTCAAAGCAAGGAAAGAAGCAGGTTTGATATCTGGAATATTGCTTATATTGCTTGTGGGTTTAGTTTCATGAATGACCTACTAGTTGTTGATATCTTGTGAACTTAAAAGAGTATTGGCTGGAAGCCTAATGATTCCAGCACATTGTTTTATGCTTATCTTCTGTTCTTGCTCAACTTTTAATGAAGTTTCATTTGACTTCATTTGCATTTTGAAAAAAAAAAAAAAAAAACACTTGAAAAGAGATGAATTTTGGATTTCCATTGTTGATGTAAGCATGTCAGAGAACCTGAAGTTTGCCCTCTAGTTTTGGGAAAATCTCACGTCCCAGTTTTCTTATTTGTCAACCATTCTAGGGGTTACATATGTGTGTGCTTGCAATTTATCTTTTGTAATTTAATTAGCCATTTGTTCAGTGTTGAAAATTGTTTGTCAATAACATTCAAGCTTTCATTTGGTAAACTCCCTCCTCCCTTTGTCCTGTTAACCTCCTCACCCTGTCTCTTTGCCATTTTCAGCTTCATGAATGTAACTTCGCATTTCTTAACTTGTGACAGCTTGTATGGGTATTTGTTCATATGCCAGTGTGACTAGAATTTGTTGATTTTGCATTATGCTTGCTTGGAGTTGAGTAAAACTCCCCATCTATTGTATGTGTTTATCATGAGGCAAGCTGCCAGAATATTATTTGATTATTTGTAGAAAAAACTTAGCTTTAGGCTTATTTGTCCTTTCATTAGCAAAATTGAAGTTCTAACCTCATCATATGAGTTTATTTTTGTCTGTGTGTTGAGTATGTCTGTTCTAATCTTCATTAAATCTTTATTGGGCTTTTTAGTTGGATTATGACAAAAGCATATTAGGTCTGATTTGTGTATAATTGATTATGTAGGACCTTGTAGACCGGATATTAGCCATTCTTTCTGATGAACGAGGTAACTGGTTCTATTTCTCTCCTTTTCTTTTTTTCCCTCCCTTCAAATATGATGGATATATTCTTGTTACAAGTCCTCTGTGTGTTAATCAAGTATGACTGTTTGGGCAGTGGAGGTGGTACAAGACTCTGGGGTTTAACCAATGATGATGGCTTTGGTGGTAGCCATGGTGGGTGGTTGTTTGGGGCTGTAGAGGAGGGGTTCTTGGTGGGGGTTGAAGGGACTGGTGGTTTGGGCGAGTGGAGGTGGTTCAGAGCAATGTGGTTGGAGGGAGTGGTGATGATACAGTTTGGTAGGGTGTATAATTGTTTGATTGAATGATGATGTGGCAAAATATTATTGGTTATAACAATTTTGTTGTGGATTATGTTGACTTTGGAGAAAAACATTTTTAATGAACTGAAAGGGTAATATAGTGAAAGGCCACTCTATTAACAACATTTGCTCCACAAATCTGACAACAGGCCAGTGTCATTTCAGAAACCACAGGGGAGGTGTCTAGTATTACCATAATTCTCAAAGGAGGTCAATGTTATTTATCCTAATAAACTATGAAGCATTGACACGGGACACGACACGGACACGTGGTCATGCAAAATTTCAAAAAACGGGGGGACACGACACGCTGGGGACACGTTCAATATATATAATATTATTAATTTATTATATGTATAAAATTAAAAAAAATAAAAAATAGAAAAAATAAAAAGAGGGAAAAAAGAGGGGGGATCTCAGGTATAAATAAATAAAAAAGTAGGGTTTTTGTTATAAAAAAAGAGTATTTTCAATCTTTCATGAGAATAAAAATAAATAAATAAATAAAAAGGGAGTGAGAGTCTTTCATGAGAAGGGAAGGAAAAAAATAAATAAAAAGGGAGAGACAGAGAGATGAGATGAAAGCAGAGAGGGGGAGACGACGAAAAACAGAGAGAGAGAGAGAGACGAACTGCGAGAGAGGGAGAGTGACGAACTGCGAGAGAGGGAGAGTGACGAACTACGACGGAGAGATGAAAAGCACACAGAGAGAGACGACCTTCGAAGTGGTGAAAGAAGAAGAAAAACGATGCAAAGAAGGACATACTTCGATCTAGGGCTTCAACTTCACCCTCCTGAGCTTCAACAAGTTCAAGGTTCTTCTTTGCCTTTTTTCTCTTCTCTCTGTGTTTGCCAACAAGCTAGGGTTTTTGTTCATAATCGAGTGACGAACTGCGAGAGAGGGAGAGTGACGAACTACGACGGAGAGATGAAAAGCACACAGAGAGAGACGACCTTCGAAGTGGTGAAAGAAGAAGAAAAACGATGCAAAGAAGGACATACTTCGATCTAGGGCTTCAACTTCACCCTCCTGAGCTTCAACATGTTCAAGGTTCTTCTTTGCCTTTTTTCTCTTCTCTCTGTGTTTGCCAACAAGCTAGGGTTTTTGTTCAGAATCGTGTCCCGAACGTGTCCAAGCGTGTCTCTGAACGTGTCCGATTGCAAAAAAATTCAAAAAAAAAAAAAAAAAGGGACACCTTCCATAGAGTGTCAGACACGTGTCCACCACGTGTCTGACGTGTATCCGTGTCCGTGTCCGACACGTGTCGGACACCCATACGCTGCTTTCAGAGAGGTGTCCCTACTTCATAGCTAATAAATATTATTATTAGTAATTCAGTAATACGATAATACTATCATTATTACTACTATCTAATTGAATTTTTAGACCTTATTTGTTGGAATCTTACACACTTTCTTATTCATTTGCACTCATGTTTAATAGAATTAAATTATTTGAAAATTTTTAACAAATTTTGGTTCTTCTTAGTAACAATGATCTTTGTATTTTACACTTGTTCTTTTAAGTGAATGACTTCGTTAAGATCAATATTAGTCAAATTATTTTAATTATAAATTAGTCAAATTATTTTAATTTTATAAGTTTAGATAGATCTTAATTTTATTTTTCTGAATATTTCTATATATTTTCCAAAGTTTTAAAAGGTTTTACTGAGACTCATCTCAATGCTTGCTTTGAGGCAAGGCTAAGGCAAAACGCCTAAAGGATTTGATTTTTAGGATTTACTCCACAAAGGCTTGCGCACACAGTCTAAGACATGCGCCTTAGGTGCGTTGTGTATGCCTTTTACATATATGCATGCGAGGAGTATGCATATGAAGAGTTTGTCTTAGGTTCTTGTTAAACTTAGTCTAGTAGATGATTTAAACATAAAAAAGTAATTTTGATGTATTTATTTATTAATTTAAAATATTTAAATTGTCTACTAAATACAAAATTTGAAATGCTTACACCTCAACGTCTCAAGGCATACGTCTCTCCTCATGAGGAGTAAAACGCCTCACATTATGCATTCACCTTTAAAAACTTTGATATTTTCAAGTTCTTTATTTAGTTACGAAATATTTCTGTTTGGATAAATTACACTGACATCCCTTGAGGTTTCTGTTTAATACAGATCCCCCCCTCACGTTTGAAGAATTATACTTGCTCTCCTGTCAAATTAAAATGACATATTTGTCTCTTAGCCTTTATACATATATAAAATAATAAAATAATGTTGATATTTTGTTCATGTTATTTTAAGAGAAATAACAATCATCTTCTTTGGTTTAACCTTGCACAAAAAATTGAATTTTTTTTTCTTTTTTTTTTAAAATTTTTATTTTTACTGATTTTTTTTTAAAAAATATTTTAAGCAAATTTTTTTTTAAATTTTTTTTAGATATACCTAATTTAGATATATTTGAAAAGTATAATATTTTGTGATTTTTATTTTAAATTCGTCAAATAGAAAAAAATGAAAAAAATATAAAAATTCAGTAATACTGTAATAATGTAAATGACGATGTTTGGTAATACTGTAATAAATGTGGGTGAATAGACGAGAAAAAAAAATGATGGTGGAAATAAAAATGAAAAATTCTATTCATATATAAAAATTTATACAAGAAAATATTGTAAAAATGTTGTGATAGGGATATTGTTGTAAATATAAATCATGTTTGTGGGTGTTTTGTTTTAAAGTAGAAGGTCACCACTTAGTTGTAGAAATCGTGCAACTAGGTGGCGATTCTGAGTAAGAATCGCGATTCCGCGTTTCCTAGAAAGAAACGTGTAAGAATCACGTTTCTGTTTGAGAAAGAAACGCAATTCAGTCCAAGATGGGATCGTAAAGGGGAGAGAGAGAGAGAGAGAGAGAGAGAGAGAGAGAGAGAGAAACCCTAGCCTTCGACGTCGACATGAGAGGAGAAAGAAGAAGGGTTGTTGAGAGAACTTACAGTGGACCAGTGCTGAGGTTAGGGCTTTGATTGCCTTCGTCAAACTCCTCTCACGATCATCTTCGTCTCTAAGCTCTTCGATCATCTTCGTCACTCTCTCGATCGTCTTCGGCTCTCTTTTCGTCTCTGTGCTTCTCTCTTTTTCTTCGTCTCTGCTTCTCTCCCCCTTCATCTCTCTGTTCGTTGTTCTCTCTCTCTCTCTCCGTCTCTATGTTTAATTCATCATATATGTAATATATATATAATAATATATATACATATGTATTATATTATACATGATAAAGTCATTTTCAAAAATATGTATAATTTATCATATATAATATATATAATAAAATTTCTAATTGTTATTTCTTAAAATATCATATATAATAATAATTTTTGTAAACTATTTTTTCTTACCTTTTTAATAAATAATGAATAAAATAAATCATCTAATTTCCCGCTCCCGCTCCCGCTCCCGCTCCCGCTCCCGCTCCCGCTCCCGCTCCCGCTCCCGCTCCCGCTCCCGCTCCCGCTCCCGCTCCCGCTCCCGCTCCCGCTCCCGCTCCCGCTCCCGCTCCCGCTCCCGCTCCCGCTCCCGCTCCCGCTCCCGCTCCCGCTCCCGCTCCCGCTCCCGCTCCCGCTCCCGCTCCCGCTCCCGCTCCCGCTCCCGCTCCCGCTCCCGCTCCCGCTCCCGCTCCCGCTCCCGCTCCCGCTCCCGCTCCCGCTCCCGCTCCCGCTCCCGCTCCCGCTCCCGCTCCCGCTCCCGCTCCCGCTCCCGCTCCCGCCCCCGCTCCCGCTCCCGCTCCCGCTCCCGCTCCTGCTCCCGCTCCTGCTTCCGCTTCCGCTTCCGCTTCCGCTTCCGCTTCCGCTTCCGCTTCCGCTTCGTGCAACTAAGGGTCACCATTAAGCTATATCATTGTGTTTGAAAATTTTATATAAAATTTATGTTTGTATATCATTGTTCAATAAGAATATGTTCAGGTAGAATTTAATGATGAAAAGTTGTAGAATGTAGTCATGATGATAGGAAGAATAAATTGTAAGAAAAAGGGCAAAATGGTAATTGAAAATTTTTTAGGACATGGCATCAACAATCCAGGGGCAATTTGTAATGAGATTACAAGCCTCAAAGAGGGGAATGTAATTTTTCAAACGTGAGGGGGGAATCTGTATTAAGCAGAAATCTCAGGGGGTGTCATTGTAACTTACCCTTTCTGTTTCCATGCCAATCGAAATAACACACTGGAGTGATTTTGAAATAATAATTTTCACAACTTGTTTGATGCAATTTTTATTTCTTATTTTTTGTTTCCTAGGTTTCCTTCTATCTTTTAAGTTTAGTAGCGATCTTGTGCAAAACTCTTGTATTGGGAAAAAGTTACATTTCATGCTTTCATCATGAACACTTGTAATTTTAACGTCCTATATTGTTGTTTTCCAATAAACTTAGGTGTGTACATTTAGGGAATAACTTATAATACAAGGTGAGAAAAAGGGAAGCAATCTAGTTCATAAATTGGTAATGCAGATTGTAGTTATGTTCTGTAGTGTAATTTCATGGAACTTATGTATTTATGATGCTCCCTTATATTCCAAATCCAAGCTTTTAAAAAACCTCCAAGGATGAGCACTTCTTCCCCCCACGGTTGGTATAGTAGTGCAAATGTGTATTCAAGATTTGATTGGTTTGTGCTTTGTTATCTCTGGGTTGTGTTATTTGTGGGCTTAACTACTATATTTCTAGTATTCTACTTTGTTTGGGTGACAATTAAAGGTGCATGTTGGATACAACGATTTTCTCTGACCAATAGCAAATTGCTCATCTTTTTTGCAGTTTATGGTATGTGGGCAAAGAAAAATGCTGTTGGGAAGCATGAAGTAGCAAAACTAGTAGATGACACTTTCAGGTTTGTTCTTATTTTATCACATTCTTACATTTGCATTAAATCGTAAGTTATGGAAAATTCCTTTTTTAAAGATCTTACCTCTTGATCCATACACTGTTGTTTTGATATAAAATTGAACTTCTTGCTATGGTTGTCGAACATTTTCTCATTCCATAATGTCATATATTGGCTCAAAATTTATTTGGTTACCTCGTGAACATGCATAACATTTTTTCCCCAGGAAAATGAAGGTTCCTGGAGCTCCTGATTTAGCTTCGAAAGGACAAGCTGCATCAGATAGCAGTAATGTGAGGCTCAAGGAGGAAATTGAAGATTCTTATCCAACGGATAAAATCCGTTGTCTATGTGGAAGTTCATTGCAAGCTGATTCAATGATTAAGGTCATATGAATGTCTCAACTTTCTTTCCTATATAAGTTTGTATATCTCGCATCGTTTCCCCCTTTCTCCATCTCCCCCGCTGTCCAGTTCTCCATCCCTCGAGCTTGCGGCTCTTGTATGTTTATGAAGGTTGATTTTGAAGGTTAGAAGTAGTATTACTTCTGAATTCCCATGAGCATGTGGCTGGGTTTAGTTTTCTTAGTTCTGATTTTTTACTTTTTGTTCTTGATTTCCTCCTCAAATGTAATGCAATGCATGAATTGTTTATGACACTGTATGTCATTATGAGAGTTACTTGCTTGAGTATCTAGTGGGGGACATAATTAATAGTTATATGGCCTTTTGACAATGGATTTTCTCGAGCATTAGTAGTTATAGATGCATTGTGACTTTTCTCTAGCAAGCTCATTCATGTATCATGATCACAACATATTCTTTTATTCTCCTGTCTCCACCATTTGTGACCCTTTGGTTGGGTTGTGGGTATATTTAATATATTGACCTACAACTGCCAGGGCACCAAGTGAATGAGATTCACTTTCTTTCTCCACTTTTGTATTAGATTTGATAGATTGGTTTCTTAGCGCTTTTTTATTTTTATTTTTTATCAGCAACAAAAAGAAATTGTATTAGGCTCAGTTTGGTTAGATAGAGAATACAGGAAAGTAAAGAAAAAGAATATACATTTTTTTTTATTTTTTATTTTTTATTTTTTTATGTGTTTGTTTAGATAGAGTCTTAGAAAGTACTGGAAACTAAAGTTTCATGTACGACTCAAATTAACATGTTAATTAAGCTTACGATTTCTCGCAAAATATACAGGGAAATTTATTTTTTCTCACAACACTTTACAATGCTTATTTTGTTTCCCTCTTTATCCATGCTTCTCTCCACAACTCCATGTTATGCGGTGATTACATTTTTTCCCATCATTTTTTTGCAAAATTTTCCATCTATTCAAATGCATGAAAGAAAATAAATTTTCGTTTCTTTTTCCTTTCTTTCACTTCACTTTCTACCATTTTCACTTTCTATCCTCCGTTTCTTTCTAAACAAATGGAGTCTTAGAGAATTTATTGAGGGGCTACAACCCTTATACAACCAAAAGAAAAAGAAAGAATTAGTACAAAAGGAAAGTCCCAAATGCCTAATTCAATCCGCAAGCATTCACTTCCAATTAATAAATTGCTTCAAAACAACACCAATTTGCTTTCTCCTCTACCGACATTAATTTATGGATTATTCTCCTTAAACTGTCTCCCTATGAAGCACTGACACTTCAAAACGACTAGCAGTGTCAGGCACACAGACACGGCGGGGACACGTATGGGTCACGTCACATGGCATGTTCCCTTATTTAATTAATTTATTTTCAGAGGACACGTTGGGGACACTTTGGGGACACACTAGGGACATGACAACTTGTCTTTTCTCCGATTTTCTTTGCTGTTTTTGATGAATGTTGAATATTTATTATTTTTTTCTTAGGTTTAAATGCCTAATAGATCATGCATAAAAAAATATATAAACTGTAAATGTTAATTTACAAGTGCTTTTTTTTTTTTTTATATATTTTTATTACAAAAAATATAGAATTAGAGTTCGTTTTTTGTTAATATTGATTGTTTGTTGATATAATATTAATCTATTCTAGGTAGCAAATAAAAATATATGAAAATATATTTTATTGTCGTGTCCCCGCCATGTCCGTGTCTTCTTTTTTTTTGAAATTCCCATGTTTGCATCTATGTCCATGTCCGCATTTGTATCCGTGTCCGTGCTTCTTAGCTATCTCCTAAATTCCTCCACAAAGACGAAATAGACGCTAACTGGTTTCTTCAACAAGAAGATTTTACTCTTTCAATTCCTTGGAGTGTTGCATAGAATATTTAAAGATCCACAAATGCCATAAATGCCTTGTTGAGATATGACCATTTCAATGTGCTTTATTGACAGAAGAATTTACAAATATGCTATCATCCCATCCTTGTACATATTGGTTGCTTTAGTGCATTGCACACACTTTAAATTTTACTTGTTTGTTTATTGTGCAGTGTGAGGATCCGAGGTGCCAGGTGTGGCAGCATATTGGTTGTGTTATTATTCCAGAGAAACCTATGGAGGGTGTTCTACCTGCTCCTCCTGATATTTTCTATTGTGAACTCTGTAGACTCAGTAGAGCTGATCCGTATGTAATGCCAGTCATTTTTCCTTTATTTTTAAAATTTTAATTTTTAAATATATATTTTTTAATGTTTTGGACTGTAAGTGGATGCATGTTTAAGTTTTCTGCATGTAAGTTTGCTATGATTGGTATTGTTGGTAACATTATATTTTTCCAGATGGGGTTTGGTTGTTTTGAGGACATAAATGTTTTCTTAATGCTATTACTATTTATTTATTTATTTAATTTGATAAGTAGTGTTGTACTGGTATTATGTTACATTTTCTTCTTCAACCTTCATCCTACTTATGGACTCTCTCTCTCTCTCTCTCTCTCTCTCTCTCTCTCTCTCTCTCATCAGCATGCCATTGATTTAGTTAGTCTTTGAAAAGAATCATACTGTGGTTTTTCTGTAATTTGAGTTTGCTATTGCTTTTAGGCCATTTTTATATTTAGCAAGTATGCTTGGTTAGTACAATCTTTCAGTACAGTTTAGTTTTATTAAAAATTTAGCTCATCTGTGATTCTTCAGTTCGATTTGTTGGTCATGATCTTACATAAGGAAAATTCTATGGTACATATGCACCCAGTTACGACCTTTGTAGTCTTTGGTTATGACTTATTGAGGTATTGGTTAGGACTTGGTTATACACATTGTGGTGTTAGTTATGACTCATTGTGATGTTGGTTATGACATTATTTTGGTTATGATCCAAGAGTTCTTTGGTTATACGTTATGTGATGTTGTGTTTGGTTATAACTCAATTTATTTTTAGTTATGACTCCCATAGGATTAAGTTATGGCATTTGTGGGAATCAATCCCACAAAAGGGTGTGTATCATAGTATTACCCCTTACATAAATAACTGGACCATTATTATTATATAATAAATCTTGACTTGGCAACTATTTTTTGAACTTGCATTAAATTGTCTCATTTGTATATTTCCTCCAATTTTGATATTGCTTTAAAGCCTGTCATTATAAATAATATGCGATTTTTTTTCCCAGCATTAAACAGGAGTTAAAAAACTTAATTTTGATATTGTAAATTGAGAATTGTATCGTGAATTGGAATCCTAATTTGATGAATCATGAATTGAATTGAATCGAAAATCGTAAGATTCGGTACAAACTATTAAAAATGACAGGAATCCTAAATCTATGTTACATGTACCATGCTAATGTGTGCTCGTGTCTAACTCTACACTTGGGTCAGGGTGCGATATGTGTCTAACATATCTAGTTGGATATTTTCACCTGGCAAACATATTTCGTAATTTGAGTTTATCATTAAATTATGCAATGATATACTCTATAGTATCTTGTCAACACTAGTTTAACTTAGAAAATAAAAGAAGTATATTAAAAAAATATGAATATTTTATTTAAAAAATATGAATATTTTGTCTCGTCCTTGTGCTTTTGGACATAGGAATTAAATGAATAAGATACTTGGACACATATCCATGCCCAACACATGTACCCAAGTCCATGTAACATTGCTCTAAATAGAGTAGAATAAGAAGAAAGATTAAGTTTGAATGTTGTATTTTAAAACCTAGAACACTTTAAGTAGGCTTATTATTCAAAAAAAAGTTGTGGAACTCTCGGATCTGACTAAGTTGATCCATGTCATGCTAAACTATGTTTGTTTCACTAAAATAACAACAGATAATTTATTGCTTTCGTCTTAAACATCTTTAGAAGATTTATTTTGACGTTTTGCCAGGGACAAAAAAAAAGAGAAAAATGGTTAAGAATCTGTTGGGTTTGATCTTATGGGATCCAATTAAACCCTTTGATCACAAAAATAACAACAAATCATGCAAAGTATTGGTTATTTTCGCAATAAATACTCTTAGAAGTTGTATTCAAACATTCAGAAAAAAAGAGAGAAAAATGAATCAGAATATGTCGCATTTGATAGTTTCAAGAAATGCATGAATCGTAAAATGTGAATTAAATTGTGTCCATCAATTTGTATTGATACATGCATGAGTCGTAAGATTTTGATAGCAGATTGTTTGGGTTAATTTGAACCAATTGTCAAGCCAGCTGTGAACATTTGAACATTCTTAAAGCTGGATCATTGTAACTTAAATACTTGTCTGGGTGGTTCAATGTATCCCACTCTCCTAAAGCCCACCTAATATACTCGAGAAGTTTTTGAATCTTGTTATTTGTTTTTATGCAGCTTTTGGATGACTGTGGCAAATCCTTTGTATCCTGTTAAGTTGACTACTACAAGTGTTCCAACAGATGGGTTAGTGCATGATTTGGATGTATGTATTTATTTGTAGTCGTCATGATTAATTTTTTTCCTTTTTTATTCCCCCCAAAAAATTCAGTACCAACCCGACGCAGAGCATTGAGAAAACATTTCAACTTACAAGGGCAGACAAGGACTTGTTGTTGAAACAAGAGTATGACGTTCAAGTAGGTTGATTTTATTACACTAGCTCATGATAAAAGGTTTCCTATCAGCGGCTTAGATATATTAATGATTTATGCATAATTATGATACAGGCTTGGTGTATGCTTCTCAATGACAAGGTTACATTTAGGATGCAGTGGCCACTGTATGCCGACCTACAGGTCAATGGTACGCTATGCTAATTTTGCTTCAGTAATTAAATTTTGTGTTGCCTGCATGTGGAAGGTTGGAAACTCTATTGCTGTGATATTTTCTCTAAAATAAAATAATTTCTATTAAAAAAATTAAGAAACTGCAGTTGTAAAAATTGTTAAGCTGTCAAAATTTATCCTGCACATCAAACATTTAATGTAGTTCTTTGCATACTCTGCTGAGTTGGCAACTTTGCACTTGGAGTCCCCAACCAATACGCTTTGATTCATAACCAAGATTACTTTGGGTCATAACAAAGGCATATGGTATAGCCTATTGTACAATCCAAAAAGTACAGCAGAGCTGGCTCTATTGTCCTCCAGAGATTTCAGAATGCAGCAAAATAGTTATACAGTTTCCTTCACCTTGTACCACTTGTAATCGCAATTAGCTAGCAATTGAACCCTTCGTCCCAAATTATAAATTCTCTCTGAATGTAGCAGTTGATGTTGACACTGCTTTGGTGGGCATTGCACACACCCAGTGCTTTTTCAATGGGACTTGATGCCATCCTTCCCACTAAGCACCTCACTGAACAGCTCAGCCTAGGGTACCACTGCTCCCTTTTCATGGTCCACCTCCACCTGAGAGTAGCCTCTATATCTTGACGGAGGGAATCTTCAAAATTTAGCACAAGAACTTATAGACTTGAGCCCATAGTTTTGATCCTTGACAGATTGAGGTTTTCCAACAATCACTCTATCAAACAACCGTATGTGCTTTGGATGTTATGATCTTCATAAACACTCACATATATAGAAATTTTGTGGTTTTTTTGTCTGGTTTTGTACAGGATAATCACAAGCTGTTCTTGTCCTTTTTTGTTTTTGTTTGTCTATGGCCTTACAGGTGTGCTGGTGCGGGCAATTAATAGACCTGGCACGCAATTGCTAGGGGCTAATGGTCGTGATGATGGCCCTGTTGTGAGTTATTCCCCTTTGTTAAGCTGCCAATCATTCTGTTGAATTATTTCATGCCTAAATATTTCTGAGGAAATAGATTTACTTGTGATTTTTTTTATGCATAAATGTTTTTACTACTTTTCTTCAGTTAGCTGGATGCTGGTGTTTTTAATAGCCTTAACTATTACTGGTCTTAGCTTACTTCTTATTGTTTTGCCAGATCACACCATTCACCAGAGACGGAATTAATAAAATTTCCTTAACAGGATGTGATTCTCGAGTGTTTAGTTTGGGGGTCAGAATTGTGAAGCGACGTACTGTCCAGCAGGTATTTTGAACTCTTTCAATATTAAGACATGAGATAATTATGAGTCTGTCTTTTGTGTATGACATCAAGTTCTTTCAGTTATGGCTTGAAATAGGAAATGCAATCTAGATGCTGTTGATTGCTGTGTATTGTTATCACTCCCTGGGATTGTTTTACTGTTTGTTCTGTTTAATAATCTTGTTGGTGTTTACAAGTTCTTTTTGTGGTTAAATTTGCATTTGAAGAGTTTTGCAGTGTCTCTACATTTTTTCTGTAGTTAGTTTGCATCTGTTTATACCGGTAGAGGAATTCTTATAAACTGACCTTCATTATGGTCTTGCAAGCATGTGTTTATATTCATAAATCTCAATAAAAATGGAGGTAATAAAGTTAACATATCATTGTTACAGTTACTTGTTGCCATCTAAATTAATTGCTACGTACTGTCCTGTTTGTTCTCTATGGTTTTCTGATGTAATGCTGGATATAATTGTAATACTGTTTTGTCTTATTTTCCGATGTACCTAAAAAAAAATACTGTTTTGTCTGTTTTCTATGGATTTTTGTTAATAGTACAGGATTTACCTTGCTAGTATTTAATTATGAATCAGTTGATTGAAATGTTTTGCCTCTGTGATAGTTCTTGCGATTATTTTGGATCTAATTTTGTGTAGTTTGGGAGGTAGTATTTGTTATAATTGTGTCTGAATAATTATCTTTTAAATATTTTTGTTTTTATTTTTTGTTTTTGTTTTTATGAACATTTTAGGAACCTATGATCACAGAAGAAATGTGCACTAACTGGATTCCAAAGATTCATTGCCTTTTTTTTCCTAAACACACAGCTGCCAAAAAAATTAAAATAAAATATTTACTTGATTTTTGTTTATTTTGTTTTTATTTTGTTGTCTAGATTCTCAACTTGATACCCAAGGAGTCAGATGATGAACAATTTGAAGAGGCTCTTTCTCGTGTTCGCCGTTGTGTTGGTGGTGGAACTGAAATGGAGAATGCTGACAGTGACAGTGATCTGGAAATTGTTGCTGATTTTATTCCTGTCAACTTACGTTGTCCTGTAAGTAATTTTGTGTTTGTCAATGCAGACATTCTTTTCTGTATTTGTGTTTATAACTTTTTGCTCTTTACTGAAAGGTACACTTAACTTTTTGGTAATGCTATTTGGTAATGGTTACAATTTATTCTTTATTGTTTATAGAAAACATTAAACATGTTTATATTTATTTTTGGTAAAAATGAAAACGAAAGACGTTGGGTCACATGTTTTCAAAAACTTGTTTTGAAAGCTAATGGGGTGGCCTGAGGGGGTGGAGGGACTCCCCCGGAGGTAGTGGCTGCCGGTGGTGGTAGGAGGGGGGTTGCTGATGGTGGTGGACGGTGGTGGTTGGCTGGCTGTGCTGATGGTAGTGGGTGGGAGGAAGGAAGGAATGTGAACTTGTTTACAAAAAAAGATTACATTTTTTTGTATATAGAATTTAGTAAATTTTGTAAATAGCTTATATTTTTTACAGACAAAAACAGGAAGCAAACAAGTTTTTGTTAATGGTTTTCAAATTTTTTGTAACATAAATGCTAAACAGTAAGATATTGTTTGGCAATATTTACATTTTACTGTTTTTGTTCACAGAAAACATTAAACATTTTTTTTTTTGGGGAATGAATATGAAAACAAAAAACATATTTGCTACATGTGATTCAAAAACTCGTTTTGAAAACAAGAAGTGGTTGAAGAGGTTTCAATCAGCGGGAGGCGGGTTGGTGGTGGTTGAAGGTGGTTGTCAGGGAGGTGGTGGCCAAAGCAGATTGCAGGTGGCATGCAGTGGTAATGGGCATTGTGGGTGGTGGCCGGAGAGGGTGGGAGGAAGGAGTAAAAACTTGTTTTCAAAATGAATTTAATTTTTTTAAAAAGAATTTAGTAAATTTTGTAAATTCTTTTTAATATTTTTGAAATGAAAATAAACTCCAAGCAAGGTTTTGTTTAGAAAATTCAAAATCTTTGTAAACATAAATAGAAAATTATAAACACAAACGTTATTGCATGGGAAACGTTTATAAAATGTGTAGCTAAGTTGAGAATACATAATTTTACTCTATTAATTTTACATAGTGAATTAAACATCTTATTAAATACTTCCCAAAAGTAAGTAGAACTTTGAATTCGTTGCAATTAATGAATTTTTTTTCTTAAAAAACAGTGACACCACTATCTAGTGTGATATTCGTCAATGGAAATTTTTTATAAAACAAGTTATAAGGCCAACAATGCTTTACATGACAAAATGCGGGGTAATTAGGAATCAGCACATTCATAAAATGAGTGTAGGTATGGTGAGAATGCTTAATTTTACATGTTTAAATCTGTAGTGAATTAACATCTTAATACTTCCCAAATAGAGTAGAATTTTGAATGAGTTGCCATTAATATGTTTTTTTTCTTGAGAAGCACGGGCATGGACATAGACAAAAGACAGACGTTTTGAAAAAATTAAGATACAAACAAGACAGGAAAACGACAAAAAATTATTATTATTATTATTATTATTTTTTATATTTTTATTTGCTATAGCCTATATATATGAATATGAATTTTTGGCACAAAGATATAAAAAGACATCAATGTATATATAGGTGTATTTTTACTTTTTTCTACTTTCCACATAAATTGATCGTCTTTATTCAATCTAGATCTCCCTTGCAATTGATCTGTTCGATATCGAGTATGCTAATGCGAATCTCTAACAGTTGTAATCAAGTCTCTCAATCGCTCTCTCTTGTCGTTCTCGCGAAACTCATGCAAGGCTCTCAAACAGTTTACCTGTCGCAACGGTCGCGGTGCTTCAGGGGGGACAAACGATATAGATAAGCCTTTTTATTACACTAAGCCTTTTTATTACTCGTTTAGACTTCCCCCCTTCAAGAGCTCCGCTAGAATACTGACTTGGTTACCTAGCCCAGAATAAAGAATCCATAGGGAGTATCAAAGAGAATAAGGAATTCTTATAACAAGCATGTAAGCAAATCGCGGTAGTTACGCTATAGCTGTTCTGCAAATAGAAGCTGTTGGATAAGAGCAGTTGGTCTTCCTCTTGCAATTGAGAATAAGGACTTCAAAGTGCAAATAGGCAATCGACAAAGGCAAATAAAATAGGTGGAAACCGGTATTTAGTACGGTGGTATGAGAGAAGCAAGTTAGTATGCGCCTCTATTCAAAGGAAATGTCTCGGATTGTAGGAGAGGCATATGACTTTCTTAGTGACTGAATCACTTGAAGTTGAATCAGTTGAAGGAGGTTTCGACAGGAAGAATTGCCACTCAAGGCGGGTGGGGGTTCATGACGAGTGGGCATGAACTGTAACCTAACAAACAAAAGTAAGCCAACACAGGACACGTGTTCATGAAGTGTCCCCAATGTTTCTTGCAAAACAAATGACACTTCACGTGGCATGTCTGACATGTAGACATGCGTGTTCGTGGCACGTTAGTCTCAAATACGTGTGGACACTAGTATGACACCCATTTTGAAGTGTCTGTGCTTCCTATACAACCCTTGGTCGTTCAGACATACCTGGTACGAAGGAAGAAAAAAGTATCCAATTTTCTGCTGTATCCCTCATTTCCTTGGGATTGTAGTTCAATTGGTATCGAGATTCTAGTGTGATATTAATCTGTATATTTGTGCTCCACTACGTGTTGGACACTGACGCAGCACCCATTTTGAAGTGTCATGCTTCCTACAACCCTTTGTCTTTCAGAAATAACTGATAAGGAGGAATAAAAAGAACCCAATATTCTGCAGTACCCCTTATTTCCCTGGGATTGTAGTTCAATTGGTATCTAGGTTGATATCAATCTGTATATCTGTGCTTTGTGTTGGCAATGTAGTATGTTTTTATTTATGTTATACCTTGATTACATGAGACCACTAGTGAGGTCAAGGCATTATTAATTAATGCATTTATGGCATCGGTGTTGAAGCTTCTATTTTTTTATTGTGATATGGAGATAATTATTTTTGGGATTTTCTCCCCCCCTGCACATATATGCTGTAGATGAGTGGCTTAAGAATGAAGGTTGCTGGAAGATTCAAACCTTGTCTCCACATGGGCTGTTTTGACCTTGAAGTTTTTGTGGAAATGAACCAACGATCTAGAAAGGCAAGCATCTAACAATATGTTCTATATGTATATTGGTATTCTTATTGGAATGTATGTGAGATTTTTCCTTCTTTTTTTTTTTTTTTTCCTTCTCTTTTAGTCATGTTTTTATATCTCAGCAAGCTCTTTGTCTGCTGCAGTGGCAGTGCCCCATTTGTCTCAAGAATTACTGTCTGGAGAATATCATCATTGACCCATATTTCAATCGTATTACATCTAAGGTATCACCTACGGAAAATTTAATCAAGTCCATCGTTGATCTTTTGGTACATAGGGCTTATGCTTTGTTGTAATTTTGTGATACAGATGCGGAATTCTGGAGAAGACGTGGCAGACATTGAGGTGAAGCCTGATGGTTCTTGGCGTGCAAAGGCGGAAAGTGATCATAGGGAGCTTGGTGATCTTGGGATGTGGCACTTCCCTGATGGCACTCTTTGTGCCCCTATGAATGAAGAAGTTAAATCTAGATTAGAAGCTTTCAAGCATGTCAAACAAGAAGGTGTTTCTGAAGGTCATGCCAATTTGAAACTCGGAATCAGGAAGAACCGGAATGGTTTATGGGAAGTCAGTAAACCCGAAGATTTGCATGCTCTTTCTTCCGGTAATAGATTAGAAAAGTTTGAAAACAATGGTCACAATGTTATCCCAATGAGCAGTAGCGCAACGGGAAGTGGCAGGGATGGTGATGATGCTAGTGTCAATCAGGATGGTGGCGGAAATTTTGATTTTTCGACCAACAATGGGATTGAACTCGATTCAATGTCTCTGAATATTGACCCTACTTATGGATTTACCAACCACAATTCTACACCATTAGCCAATGCAGAAGTCATTGTTCTCAGTGATTCGGAGGAAGAGAACGACATCCTGATTTCTTCTGTCTACAAGAACAATCAAACTGATACTAATGGGGTTGCATTCCCACTTCCCCAACATGGAATTCCTGATCCATATCCTGAAGAACCTGCTCTTGGTACCGGTGCTAGTTCATGCCTCGGTCTTTTCAATACTAATGATGATGAATTTGGGATGCCAATCTGGTCTTTACCTCCTGGAAGTCAAGCGGGTCCCAGTTTCCAGTTATTTGGTTCAGATGCGGATGTCTCGGATGCCTTACTCGATTTGCAGCATGGTTCCATTAACTGTCCTACTTCCATGAATGACTACTCATTTACTCTAGAGCCTGCCATGGGGTCCGCTGGTCCTGTCCCTGAGTCTTCAATTGATCATTCAAATGCTGATTTAAATGATAGATTAATTAATAATCCACTGCCATTTGGTGGCGATGATCCCCCTCTTCAATTATTTCTTCCTACAAGGCCTTCTGATGCCTTGATGCAGCCTAATTTGAGAGATCAACCTGATGAGTCTGAGGATTGGGTTTCTCTCCGACTTGGGGGTGGTGGCACTAGTGGTCAATCTGCGGCTGCAAATGGAGTAAAGTCACAGCAGCAATTACAATCCAAGGAAAGGCCCATGGATTCTTTGACAGACACTGGTATGTGTCGTTTTTTGGCTTTTGCTTTTCTTTTCTTTCTTCCTTCCATTCTTTTTTTCATGCGTGTGCTCATTAGTTCTTTGAAATGGTATATTTTGGCTGCACTTTTGAGAAAAATGTGCTTGCGTCAGCAACATGGCGTCGTTTGGTAATGCTTCCGTTCCCTGTTTTCTGTTTCCCTATTCATTTTTTTTTTTTGAAATTTGGGAACGAAAACTTGTTTGGCGTATTGTTTTGGTTTCAAATAAATGGGAATTGATTCCAAGATTTTTGAAATGAAAAAAATGTGTTTTTACTTGTTTTCAAAACAATTTCACTCCTACCTCTGGCTAGATCTCCATTCCAGTGACACTCCAGAAACTAGTTGGCTGGCCACCTTTCGGTGTCCTTACAATCACCTCGCGACAGCCGGCAACATTCAGGCCACCAAGCCTGGCAACTCACCAAACATGGTTATTTGTTTTTGTTTTCATTGGTTTTGAAAACACGTTTGCACACCAAACAAATTTTCTGTTTTATTTATTTATTTATTTTTAAAAAACTTGTTTTCTGGTTTTTGTAAATGGAAAATAGGAAACTGACAATGTTGAGTTGAACCTTGAAATGAATGGTTTATTGTTTGCTTTGTTACATGGACTCTTCTATTTCCCCCAAAGTATTTGTATCCATTGGATATGACAAGGGTAAGGAAGGGTATGTGATATGGTCCGACACTTGTATGCAATTTTTAGACACTTGGATCCTCCAACTTTTCAAAATGTTTGAAGAATAAGAGGCTCAAATTTGCTAAAAAAGAAACATTTATAATCTCAACATAGATGAAAGAAAGAAACTTCACATTTTTTCTAAATCTGACTTAATTTCAAGTAAATTTCTACATAATTTACATCTTATCTAAGAATATTGTATAATATGTAACATATATGTCTATAATGAGTCCCCGTACCCGTATCCTATTTTTGGATACATATCCAAATATCTTAGGACTTAAGTTTATGAAAGTCTGATGCTCTGACATGCACCCGATACTCGTTCCCGAGTCCGTGTAACTTAGATTGTTTGTATGTCAGATCTGATATAAACTGGCCATTTTGGTTAGTTACTATTATTGGTAGATTTTTCCGCCCACGATATTCTTTACATATTTATAAAGCTAGGATCTTATAAGGGAGGATTCGATTTGATGCCAACTTTTTATTCCCGTTCTGATGAGCCCATCAAATATGGAATTTTAGTGTTGTATTTTTTTCCTTTTTCGCTAATTCGTAATATCTTTTCATAGTATACTTGGAGGCCTAATTTAGTTTAACTTCCTTCACACTAACACTTTATGCAGCTTCTTTGCTTCTTGGAATGAATGACAACAGATCTGGCAAGACAAGCAGGGAAAGATCCGATAGCCCATTTCCTCGCCAGCGACGTACTGTAAAACGATTTTATCTTTCTATTGACTCAGACTCTGATTAGATTAGTTGGACATTGGTTTCTGGGAGTATATGCTGCAACAATAGAGAACTGTTTGGAACCCCCCGTCTTGAAGAATTCAATTCCTGGAAAGATTCAGAGATCTGTTGTCTTTACTGCCCAGTTGGTTTATACTTGTAAATTGAAGAAAGCTGAGAAACATTTTTGCCCATGTGAGTAGTCTCAGTTGCTGCAAGGCATGCATAGCATAGCGGGACAAATTTTAGCAATGAAGTGTTCTGCTTTAGAAGTGTGCCGTTGCTTCAGGAATTCTTTTTATTGGTGAGTTGTAGATTTATTTATTTATTTAAATGTCCAGCTTTGAGCACCCATTTTGTTGTGTTACTTATTCTCTATTTTTCTTTTTTCTTAACAGGGCTTGGTTTGAAAATTCTTTTTTTCTCTCCGCGTGGTGATTTGCAGGTCCCATGCTCTGATAAATTGTACAATAGACAGTTATTTTTAATGTGAAATTGAGAACAAATCCGATGGTTGCATGACCTTTGGATATAGGGGGTGAGTCCCCAAAAGTAAACACAAATTTTCCTTTGATTTTTTCGTCTTCTATTTATGACGAGCAAAATAGATCATGTAAATTTTCTTCACCTTACCTGATTGAATAATTTATAGAAATGTTGGATCTTTCAGACTTTTTTTTGGGACGAGTTTTAGTTATTGCTGTTGGATATTTCCTTTCTTTTGTTTATAAGTTAATAAATATTTTGTTTGTTAGATCTGTATTCTTCATGTAGCAAAAGTGGAGTTTGGAATGCAGGTCCTTTTCTCTCCACAAGCTTGGACAAGGGCTTGCATAAGCTAGTCTGGGTAGTTTTTGTTCTTATTTTGCTTTTTATATTTTTGAGTGATGCATAATGCATTGGTTATTTTGTTGTTTTATATGCTCTCCGTGTCCCTGTGTGTAGGGAGCATCTGTTTGTAGACCACCTATTTTTTCATCCCACCATTACTCGGTTCACCCCACAGTTAATTTTGTGTGTGCATGTATATATATATATATATATTTGAATTCACACCAGCAAGTTTCATAGGACTTTTCATATTCGTCCCCTAACCTTTTAAGTCTTAAAGCCACCATCCACTGTGGTCATCTTCGGGGCTGTTGCCGCCATGTTCCCATTGCCACCTCCCACTCTTGTTGCTACCTCCCTAGCCACATTGCCCCACAGCCACTGCCCATCTCTTCCCAGTCACTCCTTTCCCTGACTCTTTATTCCACAGACCCACTACTGCAACCCAGCTACCTCAGACCGCCATTGCAACCCACTGCTATCCTTTCACAAGCACCGAGATCCTCAAATGTATTCCCATTACGACTAGGGGAGGCGTAAGAGTGGAGAGGGATGGGAGCAAGTCACTGTTTGGGGCTGGTGGGACAGAGGCGATGCTGCAACTAGGGTTAGGGTTTTAAGCGGTAGACGGTGGTGGTTGATGATGGTGAGGTATGTTTGTCCTTGACAATATAATTTGTTTGAGGGATAGAATTGTAACTAATTTATTATTATTATTATTTTTATTGTATGATGTGCAAAAAGCAGCTCGGATGGCTTAATATGCATCCCAGAAGTTTAGTTGAACACCCTTATACTTTGGACATTTCATTTTAAAATTTGAAATTTATTTTGCTATTTTGGACACACTAAATAATATTTATTATATCTTCAAAAATCCTTGAGAGATACTTGGCACAGCTCACAAGCCAAATTGATTTCAGTTCTCTCTAACTCAACTCCTCACGTAGAGCAACGCAACAGATCAAATATCTTCCGCTGGAGCCCATTCCCGTCGAAGCCCACCCGTTGTCACCCATTCCTGTTAGAGCCGCGAAGCCCACAAACAATGTCAAACATCACTCTAAAGCATACAAGGAGAAGTTAAAAAGTTCAAAGATACTATAAATGTACAGAGGGGTTGGGATAGAAGTGTTTTAATAATTATGGTTTGCCTAGAAAGAGGAGTTTGAGAACTTTCTCGATTTTTTAAATAGATTTTTTGGATTTTCAATACTCATAATTGTTTCATTTTTTCTCAATCCTCCTCCCTTACTGTTATGGGTGCTCTTCTTCAATTTTGGCTTGTGACGGTAACTGAATTTTAGAAGGCAACGTTGACAAAGATGACGGTGACAGTAGATTTGAGCTTTGTTTTAATGCAGATCTTTTTTTTTTTGTTTTTTTCTTTTTCTTCCAAACCACAGTTGTGATAAGATTAGTGGTTTTTTCAGAACCACAACTAATTTTTTTTGGAGGCTTTTGTAATTTGTTCAAGGTTTTTTGTTTGGCTCTTTGCAACTTTGTTATTTTTCTTTTTTCTTGTTCGGTAGGATGCTTACTTCCATTTTAATATAACTACCTTATAATCTTTCTAAACAAAATCAACAATAATAATAATGATTGATTATAATTAAAAAAAGAGAGAAATATGCCTTTTATTTTTTACATATTAATAACACAATTGATAGGTTTTTACATATTTATTGTGATGACAAGGCTAGAGCACATATAAATTATAATTGCAATATCATTTTATTAATACTAATAATAATATTATAGAAAGCAGAAAAGCAAATACCTAAATCCATTTGACTGAACATAGATAAAACAACAATGATTCATCCCACTAAAAACATCACCACTAATAGCACTAATGCATTAAAAAAGTAAAAAAAAAAAAAAAAAAAAATTCCAAGACCAAAACATCACATCATTAATAGCGGGACCACTGCCACCTAATTAGTGGGAGCACTAATTAGTGCTCCCAAGCATTTTTCTAGATAAAATAGGTACCAGGAATTTTATCATATTTATAAATTATTTTATGTGACAAAATTAAAAAAACAAGAAATGAACAAAGGCAAAAAGCATGAGTGAAAGAAGCCCAGTTTCTCTTTCAAAATAAAAGAAGCAAGTAATGAATAAATCTTATTTTTTACTTTTATTTTAATATTTTTTTCAATCTCTCAATTTTCAATTATCTTAACCTCAAAATTGCCCTTATGATTCGATCCTTCAATAAATTGTTGTTAAATTAGATGGAAATTTGTCACGTGATTATCATGTTGGAAATTCAATTCACATGTCACAAAATATCTCAATACAAAAAATTTTTAGTCATTCGGATATAAATTTTAGAAGAAAAATTAAATGTTCGGTTATAAATTTCTAAAAAAAAATAAATTATTCAATATACATTCCGTTTAACTGTTTAAGTCCAAACAATTATTTTTTGTTCTAAAATTTATGTCCGAACATTTTACATTTGTCTAAAATTTTACATCTGAATGATATAGATAGTGTATGCTAAGATTTTCTTTTGTACAAATAAAATTACCCTTATCATGTGACCTACTAATTAGTCCTGGAGATTTTTCTGGAGTTTTTCTTAAGAGTCGTTTGTTAAAATTGAAAATTAAAGTTTTAAACTTTTTTTTTTTTTGTATTCCAATGTTTAAATATTAAAGAACTAAATTGTAAATACAAAATTATAGGATAAAGATTTTAGTTGTGATGAAAATGGAAATTACATTGATGTCTCTCTGAAATGAAATTAAGAATATTTTCAGTCAATTTCCAAATTTAAGTGCTTAGTATTTCTAACTCTCTCATATTAGTAACCTCTAGGCTAGTTTGATTGGACAGACTATAGCATAGAATTAAAATTATTAATCTATGAGACTCATATTCCAATTTATTATTCGAATTAGATTTCGATGACCATTTTATCAAATTTGGGGATGCTACTGCGCAGTTTGCGCAACATCTGTTGTGCGGCAAAATGAGCCTATTTCGGGATCCATTTTGATACTCCATCCGTCCCAAAAAATTAGTCCCTTATTCCATTTTTCATTGTCCCAAAATATTAGTCCCTCTTCAAAAATCAAGTACAAAAATAATGTGAATTTCCTATTTTGCCCTTCTTTTAAATTAATAAACAATGTAAAAAGTACAATTATGACATTGATATTCCCAAAAAATGTACTATCAAAAGGGTAATTTTGGAAAATTAACTTTTTCCAAATACAATAATTGTACTACCAAAAAAAGTTGGATTCCCCAAAAGGGACCATTATTTTGGGACGGAGGGAGTAATCCAAACCGTTCACATTTTAGAATACATTAAGTATAACATGTCTGAAAAAAATCAAGTTAATCGGATAATGTTTGCCCATTCATCCACTCATATTTGTATTCATTTTAGTACTTTAAATTACAATTATTATTTATTTTTGTAGATACAAATGTGAGTCGATGAATGAGAAAATGATATTCGATTAACTTGATTTTTTACAAGCATGTTCTACTTGATGTGTGCTAAAATGTGAACTATTTGAATTATCAAAATAGGCCCCGAAATAGACCCATTTCACAGCACAACAGATGTTGCTACGCAGCCGGCGCAACATCCCCAATTCCCCATTCTATCTAACAAAGTTATTAGATTTTTTATCCTACAACTAATAATGAAAAATATACATATAATTGGGATTATATATTTCTATATATATTGCAAAACAAAAGTGGACAAGAGGAAATTTTTGTATCTCACAAATCAAACTGAATAACCAATCATACATTAATATCATAGATTGTTAATCCCCTTACTATTAATATTGCTAATGAAACACGTTCTTTGGATATTATGCTTAAAACTAAACTCTCAATTGTGATATGAACACGAAAGGTTTTCATACAATGGGACATAGATAAATCATTTATCACATATTTGTTTCTCATTCTCTAAAAATTTTCCGTGCACTTAGACTACTCCAAGACCCCTTGTCTACCTGAGTAAAATATACTGTTCGTGTAAAATACACTGTATTTTTCATTATGACATAGAAATATTGTAAGATGACGTTATTATAGAAAAAACAAAACCAATATGGTCCATTGGATATTGTTCAAAGAATGATATAACTTGCACCTCGGAGCACAAAAACAGATCCATCACTTTTTTCTTTTTGGTGGAGAAGATGAAATGGGCAAAATGTGATTCAAGAAAATGATAGATGATAGCCTGCAAGAATTAACCCCAATCAGAAGGGAAAAAAAACAGTAGAAACATTGAAGAAATACCAGTTTTGAGTGAAGCTGGGGATTATGAATTTCTTTCATCATTCCGGATTTTTTCTAACAAAATATGGTCCAAGTTATCAAATGTCAACTACGCAACAACAACAACAACAACAACAACAACAACAACAACAACAACAAGGGGGGCACGAAACAATCAGGTAGCAACAACTTTAACATGCTCCAAAATCATCCACCTCTCTAATTACCTCTCCCAGTCAATAAAGCCTCATGAGTCTCCATCACATTGAGGCTCCTTCAGACCATAGTTAGACTTGTGAGCCAGTTTAAACCATTTGGGTGTGATGCATTTCACTTTCAAATTTGTTTTGGCCTTTGTGTGTGTGCGTGCGCAACTGTGTGATATTACTATTAACCTGGTCATCATGGGTTCAAACTACATAAACCTCTCCATATGTGGGGGTAAGTGTAACACCCCACCAATTATCATGTACATAGAACAGTTAAAATATACTTTCTACACATATACTCACAATACAATTTCATTCAAATATTTCTCTTTCTCATTGAACTGTAGATTTTACATACAAAACAATTCCAACAATACATCTCCCTGTTCAGTGAGTTAGAGAAAATTATAAAACAATTACATTGCCTTTCTAGCTTACTAGTTACATTGGGACATTAATACAAAATTACAAAGCTCAAAATAAAAGTAGAAAAAGAGTTACATCATTTCATTACAACATTAAGTTTTCACAAAAGGTTAGGCTTTTTCAACAAAAAGGAAAAGAAATATCCTTATCTTATTTTCCTTCATAAACGGGTTTAGGGCTCTTCATTACCTGAAATGTTAGTGAAAAAAAATAGGAATGAGTAATTTTGCCCAGTAGAGAATAACTTTAACCGAGAATATAGACAATTGATTTAAACATGAATGACCTTTATATGTATGCCCAATGTTCATTTGTATTATAAGTTTAATTGGACAAAATACAACTCACAATCAACCTCCACACTTTTTTTCGTCATCATACGGATGGCATGCAAACGCCTCAAACCTTTCCACTTTCGTCGTCCTCATACGAATCGGCCAGTGGACGCCTCACAACATTCCTACATTCGCCGCTCTCATGTAGACCAAGCAAGTGGGCACCTCAAACACAACCCCACATTCGTCGTCCTCACATGAACCGGGCAAGTGGGCATCTCAAACACATTTTACTTACCCAAAAAAAATCTCATACACATATCATAACATTTACATTTTCACACAACATCCACAATCACAAGGATTCTTAAATTTAAACCATCGATCATCAACGTCATCAATTTCATGAATAATCCCTTAGGGTTCATATAAAATTTGGGATTTTTCCACACTAATATTTCCTTTCTTTGATTCAAGCACATTTATTTCCTATTTCATAGTTGAAAGCATAATCCATCATCAATTTCTCAAATAAATACTTTATTGCACAAAACCCACCCATATATATATATATATATATATCTCACTCATCTCTATAGTACTTGTGGGGAAGTGGTTTTAGGAAATACTCTTCTGATCCTGGGGGACGCTCGCGATCCACCGATAGGCACCTGAAAGGAAGTAAACACTCCGGTCGGGGGTGCCGGAATTAGCACTCTGACGGACAAGTTAGACTCTCGTTCTAGATTACTTGTATTCTAAGTTAAACACTACAATTATCACATACCTCTTTCTAGCTGATGTCTCTTCTATTTATATCTTTTCTTCTTTGGGTCTCGGGATTAGTTCCAAATCCAACCTCCTATTCGGCATAATTTGTAATAAACCGATCTTCACTCGTCCCCTTGCTTAATCGACTATCTAGCCGAATAAGGTTGGGTCTGAGCTTCCGTGGCAATGGCTGAATGTTTCGAATCTTGATTCTTCAATGTTCGACTCTCTGGAATCTCTACGACTTCCAATATTCGGCCCCCACAATTGCTCCCCAAGCACTCCACTAGCGGTAGTTGGCTGGAGTGTTTGGCTTTGAACTCGAAGAGTCAGAGCCAAATTTGGCGGCTGATCGTATTCCAACGCGAATTCTGTCCACACGCTTCTCGGTTATCATTTCAACTTCCCGCCTCTTCGTACACTCTCATTTATTGTGATTTAAAATTTCGATGTCTTTTCAAATAGATACATGCTTTTAGACGCCCGTCGCTGGATTGCCTTGTGAACTACCTCTGCGACCTCCTACTCTTCTCTACCTCCTTCGCCATTTGTAAGTTCTCTCCTTCCTTGCTTTGTTTTTTGGCTTAGTATAATCATATTGGCAGGGGAGAATGGCGAAACATTTAAAAGATCTCCTCTCACCGGATCAAATTTCTGGTTTCCGACGCCATTTTTTCATCCCTGATGACGTTCGTTTGTCTTTTGTAGCAGACGGAACCCTTGATATGGAGAGGGTTGATGAAAACACCACCGTCTTCCCTCTTCTATCAATTGCAGAGGGCGGGGTCCGTTTCCCCTTTTACCCACTCCTTAGGGCCGTGCTTTGCCATTGGGAGTTAATCCCTTCGCAGCCCAACGTCAATTTCTTTAGGATTATGATGGGGATTGTTGCACTAAACCATCGCCTTGGGCTTAACCTTGGCATCTCCGCTATTCGGCATTACTACGCCTTGGCCAAGTCTTCTGGTCGGCACGAGCGTTATTTCCTTAGAGCCAAAGACACCGACCATCAACTAGTGACTATGCTTTCCAGTTCTGGAAAGCGAGTCGATGATGTTATGGTCGTCGTCCAAGGAAACTAGGAATTCGGCGAAGGCGAGGATCACCTTGATCGTATTCCTAGACGGAGGGGCGAACCAGGTGGCCGAGTATCATCTTCTATTCATTTGTTAAATTTATAAAGCTTCATTTTTGGGGCCTTATGATTTTGCTTTTGCAGGGAACGATTTGAAGAAAATCTTGACCTCAAGGAAACCAGGTGGCCGAGTATCATCTTGATTTTTTACAGGTATGTTCTACTTGATGTGTGCTAAAATGTGAACTATTTGAATTATCAAAATAAGCTCTGAAATAGACCCATTTCACAGCACAACAGATGCTGCTACGCAACCGGCGCAACAACATCCCCAATTCCCCATTCTATCTAACAAAGTTATTAGATTTTTTATCCTACAACTAATAATGCAAAATATACATATAATTGAGATTATATATTTCTATATATATTGCAAAACAAAAGTGGACAAGAGGAAATTTTTGTATCTCACAAATCAAACTGAATAACCAATCATACATTAATATCATAGATTGTTAATCCCCTTACTATTAATATTGCTAATGAAACACGTTCTTTGGATATTATGCTTAAAACTAAACTCCCAATTGTGATATGAACACGAAAGGTTTTCATACAATGGGACATAGATAAATCATTTATCACATATTTGTTTCTTATTCTCGAAAAATTTTCCGTGCACTTAGACTACTCCAAGACCCCTTGTCTACCTGAGTAAAATACACTGTTCGTGTAAAAGACACTGTATTTTTCATTATGACATAGAAATATTGTAAGATGACGTTATTATAGAAAAAACAAAACCAATATGGTCCATTGGATATTGTTCAAAGAATGATATAACTTGCACCTCGGAGCACAAAAACAGATCCATCACTTTTTTCTTTTTGGTGGAGAAGATGAAATGGGCAAAATGTGATTCAAGAAAATGATAGATGATAGCCTGCAAGAATTAACCCCAATCAGAAGAGAATAAAAATAGTAGAAACATTGAAGAAATACCAGTTTTGAGTGAAGCTGGGGATTATGAATTTCTTTCATGACCACCTTGAGATCATTCCGGATTTTTTCTAACAAAATATGGTCCAAGTTATCAAATGTCAACTACACAACAACAATAACAACAAGGGGGGCACGAAACAATCAGGTAGCAACAACTTTAACATGCTCCAAAATCATCCACCTCTCTAATTACCTCTCCCAGTCAATAAAGCCTCATGAGTCTCCATCACATTGAGGCTCCTTCAGACTATAGTTAGACTTGTGAGCCAGTTTAAACCATTTGGGTGTGCTGCATTTCACTTTCAAATTTGTTTTGGCCTTTGTGTGTGTGCGTGCGCAACTGTGTGATATTACTATTAACCTGGTCATGATGGGTTCAAACTACATAAACCTCTCCATATGTGGGGGTAAGTGTAACACCCCACCAATTATCATGTACATAGAACAGTTAAAATATACTTTCTACACATATACTCACAGTACAATTTCATTCAAATATTTCTCTTTCTCATTGAACTGTAGATTTTACATACAAAACAATTCCAACAATACATCTCCCTGTTCAGTGAGTTAGAGAAAATTATAAAACAATTACATTGCCCTTCTAGCTTACTAGTTACATTGGGACATTAATACAAAATTACAAAGCTCAAAATAAAAGTAGAAAAAGAGTTTCATCATTTCATTACAACATTAAGTTTTCACAAAAGGTTAGGCTTTTTCAACAAAAAGGAAAAGAAATATCCTTATTTTCTTTTCCTTCATAAACGGGTTTAGGGCTCTTTATTACCTGAAATGTTAGTGAAAAAAAATAGGAATGAGTAATTTTGCTCAGTAGAGAATAACTTTAACCGAGTATATAGACAATTGATTTAAACATGAATGACCTTTATATGTATGCCCAATGTTCATTTGTATTATAAGTTTAATTGAACAAAATACAACTCACAATCAACCTCCACACTTTTTTTCGTCATCATACAGATGGCATGCAAACACCTCAAACCTTTCCACTTTCGTCGTCCTCACACGAATCGGCCAGTGGACGCCTCACAACATTCCTACATTCGCCGCTCTCATGCAGACCAAGCAAGTGGGCACCTCAAACACAACCCCACATTCGTCGTCCTCACATGAACCGGGCAAGTGGGCATCTCAAACACATTTTACTTACCCAAAAAAAATCTCATACACATATCATAACATTTACATTTTCACACAACATCCACAATCACAAGGATTCTTAAATTTAAACCATCGATCATCAATCTCATCAATTTCATGAATAATCCCTTAGGGTTCATATAAAATTTGGGATTTTTCCACACCAATATTTCCTTTCTTTGATTCAAGTACATTTATTTCCTATTTCATAGTTGAAAGCATAATCCATCATCAATTTCTCAAATAAATACTTTATTGCACAAAACCCACCCACATATATATATATATATATATATATCTCACTCATCTCTATAGTACTTGTGGGGAAGTGGTTTTAGGAAATACTCTTCTGATCCTGCGGAACGCTCGCGATCCACTGATAGGCACCTGAAAAGAAGTAAACACTCCGGTCGGGGGTGCCGGAATTAGCACTTCGACGGACAAGTCAGACTCTCGTTCTAGATTACTTGTATTCTAAGTTAAACACCACAATTATCACATATCTCTTTCTGGCTGATGTCTCTTCTATTTATATCTTTTCTTCTTTGGGCCTCGGGATTAGTTCCAAATCCAACCTCCTATTCGGCATATTTTGTAATAAACCGATCTTCACTCGCCCCTTTGCTTAATCAACTATCTAGCCGAATAAGGTTGGGTCCGAGCTTCCGTGGCAATGGCCGAATGTTTTGAATCTTAATTCTTCAATGTTCGTCTCTCTGGAATCTCTACGACTTCCAATATTCGGCCCCCACAATTTCCCTCCAAGCACTCCACTAGCAGCAGTTAGCTGGAGTGTTTGGCTTTGAACTCGAAGAGTCAGAGCCGAAATTTGGTGGCTGATCGTATTCCAACGCGAATTCTGTCCACACGCTTCTCGGTTATCATTTCAACTTCCCGCCTTTTCGTACACTCTCATTTATTGTGATTTAAAATTTTGATGTCTTTTCAAATAGATACATGCTTTTAGACGCCCGTCGCTGGATTGCCTTCCGAACTACCTCTACGACCTCCTACTCTTCTCTACCTCCTTCGCCACTTGTAAGTTCTCTCATTCCTTGCTTTGTTTTTTGGCTTAGTATAATCGTATTGGCTGGGGAGAATGGCGAAACATTTAAAAGATCTCTCACCGGATCAAATTTCTGGCTTCCGACGTCATTTTTCCGTCCCTGATGACGTCCGTCTGTCTTTTGTGGCAGACGAAACCCTTGATATGGAGAGGGTTGATGAAAACACCATCGTCTTCCCTCTTCTATCAATTGCAGATGGCGGGGTCCATTTCCCCCTTCACCCACTCCTTAAGGCCGTGCTTTGCCATTGGGAGTTAATCCTTTCGCAGCCTAACGTCAATTTCTTTAGGATTATGATGGGGATTGTCGCACTAAACCATCGCCTTGGGCTTAACCTTGGCATCTCCGCTATTCGGCATTGCTACGCCTTGGCCAAGTCTTCTGGTCGGCACGAGCATTATTTCCTTAGAGCCAAAGACACCGACCATCAACTAGTGACTATGCTTTCCAGCTCTAGGAAGCGAGTCGATGATGTTATGGTCATCGTCCAAGGAAACTGGGAATTCGGCGAAGGCGAGGATCGCCTTGATCGTATTCCTAGACGGAGGGGCGAACCAGGTGGCCGAGTATCATCTTCTATTCATTTGTTAAATTTATAAAGCTTCATTTTTTGGGCCTTATGGTTTTGCTTTTGCAGGGAACGATTTGAAGAAAATCTTGACCTCAACTGACGACGTCGTCCTTTCAGAAATCAAGACTACGCTCAAGTATTTCGGCCGACGGACTCTTCAGAAGCAGGGGAGGGCGGCCCACGTTCTGCTCCGCTATGAGCCGACTTATACGACCTTTTCGGCAACGGAAAATATCGCAATTCCGATCGGTGAGGAGTTTCTTGTCGCCCGTATCTTGACTGACTTCAAAAATTTGAGGCAAGTCGGCTGCAAGGAATCAGATTCGAAGCGATCGGAAGTAGCTGAGGCCGCCGAATCAGACGAAGCCAAAACAGAGGTTGACGACGCTTTGAAATTAGCATTTGAGGAAGTCGGCCTCAATTCGACTGATAATCCGTACACTTCGGGTCGAGAGGACCGTTCACTTGACGATATTTTTCAGGGTCTGAAGGATCTTCCCGGCGCGTACCCTGATGATATGGCTGGGCTGAGCCTCACTATGCTTGCCAAGAAAGCGAACGCGGAAAGGCTAGCTGCGCGGCGAAGGGCGGAGGAGATTCGGGTTATCGAATCTCAGTCTCAGTCTCAGTCTCAGTCCTCCCTGCCCGTTATTGAGGAAGTGACGGCAAAAGGAGGAAGCACCGAAACGGAACCCTCGGTGCAGGCTAGTGTAGAAGCTGAGCAAAGGGTGGAAAGTGCCCTACTGATGTCGAGGTCGGCTCAGAAAAAGATCGCGTCGACAAACGGCCTCGTTTGGAGGAATCGGATGTGTTTGTACCTTTTGTTATTCAGCCGAAGATGAAAAATACGCCGATCTTCTCCGATGCTTCGGTAATCAAAGATCCAGCGGTTGCACTTAGTTTGGCGACGTCTGTTTCACTGCCTGCTGATGAGGAGACTTTTCGGGCGGAGCTGGACCTGGTTGCAATCGCGTTGGCCGCGCAATCGGCTATTTTGGTACATATCTTGACTCTGTCTTTTCTCCTTACACATTATTTTGGTTTTAACTTCCTGTTTTGCAGACCGTCGGAAGGATAGCAGACATGGGTCGTCGCTATCATGATGCCGTGGAGCAGATTGGCTGTTTACAAGCGAAGGTTGAGGACCAAAGGAGTAGGGCGCAGATCGAGGGCGCTCGTGCCGAGGCCGAGTTGGAGAGAGCCCGTAATGCTGAAGACTTGAGATCGGTTGCCGAGGAGAGGGCGCATGCGAGTGACGCCGTGCTTAAATTGGCCTAGGAGGCGAATTCTAAATTGAAGGATGAGTTGGAAGAGATGAAGGCGGCGAAGGAAACAGTTGACCTGAAGGCTTCCAGCGCATTTGATGCCGGGAAAAAATCTGCTTATGATGAATACATAGACGAAGTCCCGAAGTTTGAGAATCAGGGCTTTAAACACGGTTGGCTCAAAGCCCTTGCTGCCGCTAATGTGTCTTTGGCTGCGCCAATTCCATATGAGCAAGTGGATATTGAGCCGCTGGAGTCTGATTCCGATGGCTGATTTCAAAGGCGCTTGTTTTTTGTTTTAGGATTTGCGTGTATTTTTCAGCTTTTTACAGTTTTTTGCTTAGTAATTTTCGTATGTAAAATGGTTACAATTTGTGCCCAATTTACTTAATGAAAATTCATTTTGTACCTTGCTGTTAGTGATGAATGGAATTGCTTTGGGTCAAATGTTGTATAATTGCCGACTAAATGATTAGGACGTTTTAAAAGCCAAAAATTGGTGAATGAACTGGCTACGACACATATCGATTGGCATGAGGTCAGGGTACGCGGCCGGCTAGATTAATAAATCTGTCCTTGCCCCAGCCAGTGCATGAACTTCAAAGGCATTGATCAAAAATTGACGTTTAGATAGTTAGGCCGTTTTAAAAGCCAAAAAGTGGTGAATGATCTGGCTGCGGCACATATCGATCGTCATGAGGCCAGGGTACGCAGCCGGTTAGATTAATAAATCTGCCCTTACCCCAACCAGTGCATCAACTTCAAAGGCATTGATCAAAAATTGCCGTTTAGATAGTTAGGCCGTTTTAAAAGGCAAAAATTGAATGAACTGGTTGCGGCACATATCGATCGGCATGAGGCCAAGGTACGCGGCCGGCTAGATTAATAAATCTGTCTTTGCCCCAGCCAGTGCATGAACTTCGAAGGCATTGATAAAAAATTGCTGTTTAGATAGGCCGTTTTAAAAGCCAAAAATTGAATGAATGCACTGGATGCGGCACATATCAATCGGCATGAAGCCAAGGTATGCGGCAGCTAAATTAATAAATCTGCTCTTACCCCAGCCAGTGCATGAACTTCGAAGGCAGTGATCAAAAATTGCCGTTTAGATAGTTAGGCCGTTTTAAAAGGCAAAAATTGAATGAACTGGCTGCGGCACATATCGATCGGCATGAGGCTAGGGTACGCGGCCGGCTAGATTAATAAATCTGCCCTTGTCCCAGCCAGTGCATGAACTTTGAAGGCATTGATCAAAAATTGCCGTTTAGATAGTTAGGCCGTTTTAAAAGCCAAAAATTGAATGAACGAACTGGCTGCGGCACATATCGATCGGCATGAGGTCAGGGTACGCGGCCGGCTAGATTAATAAATCTGCCCGTGCCCCAGCCAGTGTATGAACTTCAAAGGCATTGATCAAAAATTTCCATTTAGATAGTTCGTTTGGAGAGTAGCGTTAATGAAATTGCCTCGGGGGCGCTGCAAGGATTAGAAATAAATGGGGGGTGGCTGTTTGCGCCAGTAACTTCGCTTACTATGTTTTCAAGGCAACTTATCGCGAATGGCAAATAGAGTTTTCTTCAACAGCAGAGGCGAAGGTCAAACTTTGGCTGAGCTTGATACTGCGATGAATCGCGGCAGAGAAGCCACTCGTGCGGGAAGTGGGGCGTCCAAGGAACGGGAAAAACGTCAGACTCCAAATCGTCGAAACAGATCACCCCAAAAG